TAAGGTTTTATTTATCTCGGGTAAAATAGGATGGGTTTAACCCATCCTATTTTACAACTTTTTTAATAATCGCGGAATCCATAATTAGATTTTAACGATTTTGGTCTCATTAGAATTCTCATCGAGACGGTCATTTTCATACAAGACGGATCAATGTATAAAGAGTTTAAAGTTTTAAATTAATTCCTCAAATCAGCCCATGTCGTCATCTTTCCAAAATGAGAAAACCCCCTTCAGAGACGTGTCCATGAGCAATAAATGAATTATCTTATACTGTGGCAAATTAGAACATCGATACATCAACTTAACCATCAACTTAACCTTACTAATTTTATATTATCGCATTATACTATAAGAACTTTGACTTTCGGACATTTCAGAAATCAAACCCCGTCCGAAAATGCTTCAAAAATACTTCGGTTTTCGGACAATCCGCACTTTCGGCCAACAATCTAAGCTCTTACTAGGTACAAGGGTTAACCGGAAATGAAAAATTTTTTTATTTGAATTCTATAAATTTATAGAATTCAAATAAAAAAAAAAAACAATAACAGATAGTGATCATAGTATAGTATGGCTGGCAAGTTTACCAACCACGCAGAAGGAATAAGCCTACCAAATCTCCTGACAAATTACAATTCAAATTTATCATTTATACAAATCTTTCTGTTCCTAGTTTTGCGCGACTGCGCAGCGTAGCTATTTTTTATGGTTAAACTTTTTTGAACATCGCATATCTGTTTAAAAAAGGTGTGCTACGCATTACTCAATAAGGAATAAACTCTGTACGACTACGTATAACTGACGAATACGTATGATTTTGGAGAAAAGGTCACATTATATACATTAAGTGATTTTGGCGAATAAGTGGTTCTGTTTTTGGCATTTTGTAATACCATAAAAAATTAAAACGACTGTAAAAAATTAATTAGAAACTACTTATGGCGGATTCTCCTTCGAATAATCAGCTTCAAAAAATTGTAGAAGAATATAACGTTAATACATATAATTATGATGAATTTACAAATATTAAGACCATTGGTGAAGGAGGATTTGGTCAAATACAAAAGGCATATTGGAAAACTCATGGGTTTTCGATTGCTCTTAAGAGCTTAAAGGTTGAAACAAATATAGACGAAAAGGCTGTTCGGGAATTTGTTCGAGAGGTTTGTGATAAAAATCATAAAACCATTTTTATATAATAAATCATCTATATTTAATTATATAATATTTTTTACAAATAATATAGCTTGAAATTTTATGCAGTATTAGGTTGCATTATCATCCTAATATTAATCAATTTTGTGGGGTAGCCATAGATAAGATCTGTGATCGTTATTATTTAATCTTACAATATGCTGATGGAGGAAATTTGCGAGATTATTTAGAAAATAATTTTAAAAAATTAACACGGAACGATAAATTACGTATAGCGAAGGAAATTGCGCAGGGTCTTATACACTTACATGGAAATCATGGAAATAAGGCTAAGATTATTCATAGGGATCTTGTATGAATTATATATATATATATATTTTTAATAATTAATACATATAAACCAATATTAAATTTATTAAAAATAATATTTTTTATTTACAGCATTCAAAGAATGTCTTAGTCCATGAAGGTAGAATGTTGATAGCAGATTTTGGTATATCAAAACAGTTGGGTGTACAATCTATGTCCACAAATACAACGGCTCAGGGAATGCCTGCTTATATGGATCCTCAATATCTTGCTAATCATGAATACGTTCGTAATGAAAAATCTGATGTCTATAGTTTTGGTGTCATACTTTGGGAAATTTCAAGTGGTCGTCCACCTTTTCATAACTTGAAAGGCAGAGATGAGATAACTTATCAAATATTTCGAGGAAAAAGGGAAACACCAGTAGAAAATACACCAAAAGAGTATGTTGAATTATACCAACGTTGTTGGAGTGAAAATCCCGAAGAACGACCGGATATCAAGGAGGTATTTGATGTTTTATGTCAACTAATGTGTGAAGAGACAGAAGAAGAGAAAATAGATCATAATTACCCAACACCCCAGTTGAGTGAGAGTGCACAAAGCTCTCTTGACACTGATTCAAATTCGGACAATGATAATAGTATTAAATTAAATCAGGATAGCGAGCGAAAATTCAATGAAATCCAAGTAACTGGATTAGAATTTTATAAAAAAGTAGAGGTTGTTAGATCAATACCTAAAGAGGAAGTTAGGCCCCAAGATAATAAAACATGTGCTTCTAATATTATAAGATTAGAACATTTTGCGCTTATCTCTACCTGGATTGATCAATCACAAACATATAAACAAAAGATTTTTAAACTTTTTACACCACCAAAGAAGTACTTGATTACGAACTTTCCATATGATTTTACACTACTTACGAGAGGAAGTCAAGATGGGTTTACATCATCTGCCTTTCATCAAAAATGTGATAATAAAGGACCAACTATAACGATTTTGAAAGTTAAAAACACAGAAGAAATTCTAGGAGGATATAATCCATTTAGTTGGGAATCACCGGTCGAATCAAAATATTATTATACGACTAAAAGCTTTATTTTTAAATTGGATTATCATCACCCGGAAAATTCAATACTTAGTAGAGCTAGACACCACGAATCAATTAAATCAGGAATGCATTATGGACCATATTTTCGTGGTGATTTGTGCATTTCTGAAAATTTTAGAGCACAGTGTTATCATTGGTATTATGAAAGACCAATAAGATCAAAAGGAGAAGAATTTTCAATAAGTGAATATGAAGTTTTTCAAGTTACAAAACATAAATGAATAGATATTTAATTTTTTATATATTTTCACTTTTTTATTTAATATAAAATAGCACAAGAAATAAATATATTAATATGAATGATGTAAATGATTTGAAGATTTAATTAAAATAATGAATTTAGAATGGCTATATGTTGCACCTTAGATTCTAGATGCATAAAGAGATAAAGCCAATGAAATTAAAGGAACAAAATGGCGCCATAAGTATTATGCTTTTTTTTTTTCAACAAAAAAAAAAAAAAAAAAGGTATCGATAACCAGTAATCAAGAGAAAATAAAGCCAACGTTGAAGGTAGACAGATATGTATTGTGAGACGTGAAGGTCGGAGGTCAGAGTGCCGCAGTATCTGCATACGGGCATGCAGATCTCTAACCTTTAATGGGTTTCCCGGGGATAAAAGAGCTAAAACTCTTTTATGTAATAAAAGATATAAGAGAGTTTTAATAAGTTAAAGGGATTAAGGGAGGAAAGGAGGTATAAGGAATTAATGGGTTTTAAT